CAGGGGGTCTGGGGGCCGTCTTGAGGCCCCAGTGGGTCCAGATCGCAGCCCTAGTGGGGGCCTAGGAGGCAAAGCCCCGGAAGATCCTGGTTTCTAGAGACTTTGTAGTGTAAAACAAGGTCTACAGAGTAGACATTTTACATTTTCTCGACGAAGCTGATTTACGCTAACTTTGACAATTTTAGGGGGGGTCTGGGTGCGCCCCCCCCCTCACTTTAAATCCGCCACTGGTACGTACACATAAAACTACACAGGGACCTCGTCTAAAACTAAAAATAAACATCGGTTGTTTCCTAATCGTCGGAATTTCATAATCTTTCTTTCATTAAAAAGAATATCACGATTGGAACGTGCATTTTATTGACTAGCATACTATCAGCACTAATCTTGCATTATCGGAACTGAAGACAGGTGAAATTATTTAATTCCGTTTTCTTCAGTCTATTATCGTTCACAAATTCAAGCATGCGCGTTAGGTCATTCATCGACGAACTTTATCAAATTTTCGTTCATTATCAATATACAGAGAAACCTAATACAGCAATCTATTTCTGAAAAGTCAATCAATATGTTTTAACCTAAATTTTATTAGCAATCATGTAAGAAGTGAAAGCGGATTAAATGAAAACTTAAATTTGAGACCCGGGGGAAGTGTTTATTAACGATTTACGATATCATTATAATGTGGACTGTGACAGTTTATTTATTGTGCATTTCTCTGCTAGCAATAAAAGGTTTGTGAATTCTTTACACAAAACATTTCAGGTAAATTAAGAAATTAAAATTTTTGTGAACAAATATTTAAGACACCCAAAGCTTATTATATCGCATCAATATATGGTATGCAGTTATTGTTTTGTATAAAGATGGCCTAAAATGATTTTAGGCATCATTCAATATAGCAGAATATATATGACTTCAATGTCTTTTCTTCTTAAGACTTCGACAATTTTTTTTATCCGATTTATTTATTAGTCTGTATTTATCTCCGAGTTTTTGAGTGTGTCATGCAGTATCACATTGTATGACAATATTTATATATTTCTTAATGAATATTTTACTTGAAATTTCCATTTGAACTTCATTGTATTACTCAAAAATAATCTGAGCTAAATATTGAAATACGCGTAAATTTTTGAACGATATATATCAATGATTAATTTTTTTTTTGTTATTTACAGGAAGTATTTTGTTTCGGCGGAAGAGCACAAAATGTGAAGCAGTGGTGATGTGTCCCCAGTTTTGCTTAAAGGTGAAAAATGGATGCTATATCTGCGAATGTGGAGGTATGAGACAGAGTGAAGACGATAATCTGTCTGTTATAACATAACCACTCTGTGATAAGTAACTGTACATGGTTTGTGTAGAAGGATATCAGAAGAATAAAGCAATATTTAACAGAAAAATAGATGTATGATATTGTGGAATAAATATACAGTAAAACACGCATATAGCGAACATCCTTATAATAAATTGACGCTTACAGCAAAGTGATTTTCATTTTCCGTGGCTTTAAGATATATTGTGAACTTAATAGATAAAACGAACTATGTTTACAACGAAGCCAAATTGTCCGTCCTTGGGACTTCGTTATAATGGGTGTTTACTGTATAATCTACTGATAAATTAATACTGGTATTAATTCGTGTACAGATTAAGTTTCTATCTATAAATATCGCTATCTATAAATAGCTTAAAGGAATCACAGTTTTATTTTGGTAGGGGGTGCACTTCATCCATGACGGCTTCCAGATATCTTGCGTTTTTTAAATTTAATAATTATTAATAATTCAACTGCCAATTCTGTATAGAATTACTTAATTAAATCTCTTTTTTGAATTGAAGCATTTCGGCATTAATCTGTATTCCATTTTGTACTTCTAAAAACTCAAATGGTAAAGAGCAAATCATTTAAGACTCAACCAAGAATTGTTTTCTTTTCTTAAAAATGGACCGAGTATGTCTGAATTGATTTTAATGTAAAAACAGAATTACAAATCTGATATTACCCTAGATTTGCAGTGTAAAACAAAGATGGTTTTAAGCAGAATTAAAAGAAATCAATCTGATCACATTATTTTTTTTTCTCTGAGACAGATTCTATGAACTCCTTTATGGAAGAAGCGGTACAGAAAATGAAGCATGACTATGACCCCATTTATCAAACAGGAAGTCGATATCTTAACGTAAACATGGGATCACGTGGGGCTATAAATGGACAGAAACCGAATTCCGCACAATCCCCCTGGATGAGTATGGGCATGGGGGCATTTGGAGCTAATTCTTTTGGTGGACCCATGATGGGTGAATTATCCGTTATCGAACAAAAGGGACAGTATCTCGAGCCCGACTTTAAAGGTAAATCAGATTAAATAAAAGTTTTAAGGCTTTTTATTACTATTCGAAATAATAATTTCGGAAAGTAGCCTGTTTTGAAGCTTAGAATATTCCTGATAAAAGCATGTTTTTTTCAAAACTTTCGTCGATTGTAAGTATACCAGTTATCAACCACTAATTACTGACAGTCGATATTTCAATAGGACTCTTTCTCTTTTATCATGCATAACTATCAAAGCTCACAATTTACGATTATTTATATTGACATTTTAGAACAATTCTATGGTGGCATATTTCTGCCCCTTGTGTGCAAGTTATTTTCCTATCAAATATGTCGACATGCAAGATAAATATGTTGACATGCAAGATAGTTATGTCAACATGCAACATAACAAAGTTGACATGCAAGAAAATTAAAATCAAATAAAAATTATAAAAAAAAATCTTCAATAAATCTCAAATATCGCCCACATGTGACAGCCAACATGCTAGATGCTACTTATTTATGTCAACAAGCATTTTATTTATGTTAACATGCTAAATAAATATGTTGATATGCAACTTATTTATGTCAACATGTAACTTGGTTATGCTGACATGCAAAATAAATATGTTGATATGCAACTTATTTAAGTCAACATGCAACTTATTTAAGTCAACATGCAACATATTTATGTCGACATGCAACTTGGTTATGTTTACAAGCATTTTTCAGATACAGTTCTGTTATGACCTTAACCTTAGAGCTTGAAACATAGTTCAAGGTCACTGCACACCCTTTAAAGGAGACCTCGGACGAACAGATGGACCGACGGACACATTAATTACTATAGGTCGCCCGCTGAGAGGGGCTCTAAAACGTTTTATAATCTACTGCCACGTTTCTGAATCGCCAGGACATTTTATCTAAGGAAATTCAATTATACTTTGTTGTCCACCTCATATTATAGAAAATAATTTAAACTGCAACATTTGCTTGAATAAATTTTCGATCGTAAAAATCAACTTCAATTTTACCGAAAAAAGAAAAAAAAAACAGAACCGTGCCTCATTGCACGTGTCTTGGGTAGTAACGTATCTGCACGCTCGCACAAATGTTCAAATTGTGTATCGCATAATTTCTTTTGCATTTAAATTTAATCATTTAATTCAAAATCCTATCATTTTGAAAATCAATCATATTTAAAAAAAAGTATATACATGTATCCAAATGAAATCACAAATCGGTCATATTCACTGTAAACTTTTTCGCCATTCCTTGGTCTTCAGACATTTACATCGATTTGTGATTTCATTTTTGGATATTTACTTTTTAAAAATTATATATATATATATATATATATATATATATATATATATATATATATATATATATATATATATATATATATCCGCTACTCAACATAACTAAGTTGCATGTCAACATAACTAAGTTGCATGTTGACATAAACAAATTGCATGTTGACATAAATAAGTAGCATGTTAACATACCTAAGTTGCATGTTGACATAAATAACTTGCATGTCAACATATTTATTTCGCATGTCAACATAAATAACTTGCATGTCGACATAAATAAGTAGCATCTAGCACATTGGAAGTCACATGTGGGCAGTATTTGAGATTTTTAAAAGATTTTTTACAGTTCTTATTGATTGCAATTTTCTTGCATGTCAACATAGTTATGTTGCATGTTGACATAACTATCTTGCATGTCAACATACTTATCTTGCATGTCGACATATTTGACAGAAAAATAACTTGCACACATGGGGCAGAAATATGCCACCATACAATTCTTTTTTTCATATTAAAATTGTTTCAAGAGTTTTACAGACCTGCTGGACTTGCTTTACCAGGAAGATGTCCGGAGTTGAACTACGCATGCCCAGGACGATGCTGGAAGACTGACGGTTTTAGTGGGTGTTTTCGTTGTGATTGCGAAGGTAGATGATTTCTTTTTCTTCAGATGATGCAATACACTACATTTCAGAGCAAGTTTGTTCTTTTTAGAATTAAAAAAAGAGTGTAAACACGGACATTCATCATATTTACAAAATTAATCCTAATGTTCTATGCAAAGAAACAAAAGACTTATATGAAATATCTTTTTCCTACCTTGTTTCCTCTTTATTTGTTATAACTTCAATATTGCAGAGATGATGACAAATTTATGCGAGATATAACGTTGTCTTCCTCCCCGCAAACCTTACCCATTCATCTCTTTGTTAGACATACACATGTATTGTGAGTAATATTAAGTAACGAAGACGTTTAAGATGCAAGAAAAATTAAGTTTAGAATATCTCTGAGTCAGAGTTAGATATAAGGAAAGTATAAGTTAAAGAATTTGACAGAAATTGTTAACAATGGCTTGTGTAAAACGCCCTATGGTTGAGATTTTAAGTAAAGACTCGCCATCTGATATTTTCTGAATGAAAGTCAAGGTAAAGTTTTGCTCTAGGAAGATTTTAGGTGGTTAGGTGGTGGTTAGCCGAAAGAACCATCAGGTGAGGTCATAAGTAAAGGTTAGAATTAAGCGCCCTCTGGTGGATAATATATAAGTGTGGGTAGAGATGAGCATCTCCTGGTTATAATTCTGAGTGACCATTTGTTTGACAGATAATAAATCAACAGCTAAGAGCACATCATCGTCCTTACGAATGTCAACAAGAGCGCCGCCTACCGAGAACAAATCCACAACTGCAGCGCCGTCTACCAAAACTGAAAGAACCACAACCCACGCCCCAGCAACACAAGCAAGTAATCATGCAACTTCAACTGTTTCGTCCCATAAAACGTCATCAATTGTATCATCCTCAACAAAGCTAATCTCATCACAATTAATAAATCTGAATAATATCAAAATAAACCAAGGCAAAACTTCAGAACTTGATGGAACAAATTCATCATTGACATCTGAAGGAAATCCTCAAATGGAAACTACAGGGGTTAAAGGACAAAAAGGGAATACATCCGGCAAAAGTAGCGGAAATGTACAACAAATAAATACGGTGTCGAATTCCAGTTCCACTATGTTAACCGAAACAAACCTTACCGGACGTGTCGGTCCCCCTAGTGCAAAAAGTTTAATGGATCTAACAGGAGTGGATTTATTTAAAATTTTAATTGATGGAATTAAGAAACATCAATCACTTCAGGAGGTGCTGTACACTTTGGCTCACGTTGGAGGTCAAGGTCATACAGCGCAAAATGCTGGAAATCTTGAGAAAATGGATAACACTGAAGCAATGAAACACGAATCCCAGAAAGGTGATAGAATCAATAACTCAGAAACATCACTCCAACAAACAAACAGTCTTTTAACACACCCAAGAACGAGTATTGTAAACATTACATCTGAAACAACTTCAGAGCCTCCAATAACCGAAGTGTCGGGTGGACCTCATAAAACTGACAACACAGAAGGAAAAGCTGACCAGAAAAGCAGAAAGGGTGAGCATATTTACTCAGAGAGTAAACAGATAAAGGGTTATCAATATTTACTACAAATGATATTGACATCTTTCTGTTTTCCATAGATAGGCTCTTGAAAGAGAAAAAGATCCTCCATGTTCTATTCTATTTTTCTATTTATTCTGATTATCCAATTTGCCATTTCAAAATATATGAAGATGTAAATGGAATTCAAATAAATTCTAAATAACATTTTAGGTAAAAAAAAAATATTTTGTTGAAAATCAAGTCTTTTAAAACAAACTGATTATTTAGAGGAGTTATTTCTCGTAGCAGAGGGTAATTTGAAAATTAAAGTTCAGTTTTGTAAAACATTCGCAGCTCATGGCATAAGTAATATAATATTTTTGTTTTAAAAGATTGTGTAGACGTTGGAGCCATATGTCCAGTTGAGTGTCACGTGATCGATCCCGTTTCACACTGCCCTGTATGTGGCTGTTCAAACAAAACCTTGAAATCCAATGACCCGGATATAGGTATGCCAAGTGATGTGGCTAGTAATTACTTTATTGCAACAAAATTAAATATCATATTTAGTGGATAAAAATCATCAAATCTGCGCAAGTCAAATCTGATCATTATAACAGTCGTTAAGTCAGCGTTATGTGAATCTTAACAATTCAGGATGTGCGCCTCTAGATGTAAGCTGCCCTAGCGACTGTATTACTCTGGCTGATAACATGTGTCCTGTGTGCGCTTGCACTCACAGACAGACACACAAAGTAACATCAGATGCCGTCTTTAACACTGAACCAACACCAACAACTATTTCATCTCAAATGGGTACATATGTCCTCGTTCTTTTTATTTTCCCCCTTTTTTACAGAACATTTTTAATTCTAATATTTCCGATAGAGTTTACCCTTAATTCTATTTTTGTCGTGTTTTACAGTATGTAAAGTTACAGAAGAAATTCGAAATTGTGCAACTTCCTGTTTGAAGTTTGATGAACATTTTTGTCCAAAATGCACATGTACTGCGAACAGCAAATCAGGAAAAGGGTCGGACAGCCCACAAAATTCACCTGACAATGATAATAGTATGTATATGTTATTCCATTATGGTTCATTCATATTAGAAATACGTGTGTATTTTTTAAGATGTTGGACTTCTATAATTTCTTATTTTTCGTTTCTTCCATTTCTAATTTTACTTTTCCTTTCAGTTTGCCCAGCAGTAGAACGAGGCTGTCCACAAAGATGTCTAAAATTTGACAAAAATTACTGCGCATACTGTTTCTGTGATAATGACTAGAATAAATGTGAAAAAATATCGGACACATATTGGTCTCTTTTGTTTCTTTTCTGGTATGCTGTGTGTTGTTTGTCTTTGTTCCATATCAACCTTGCTGCTATAGTAATTTCAAATTATAGGCATCTTATTCAAAGTTTAAAAACTGTAATGCCGCATCTTTATTAAGGAAACATATACTTTTATTTGTCAAATACAATATAATCCAAGATATAGACAACTGCATTCATATATATACACCCATACTTCTCTTTTGACACATGCTTCTGTTCTCCAATTACACACATTAACACCAAAATGTCGAAATTGTTTTGCAGGTAATTAATCAGACCTATATCGATTCCCCCCCCCCCAAAAAAAAAAAATACTTGGGAAAGGATGAATTAGTACACATAAACATGCATCTCGAAATTAAGTTTTAAAAGACCTAACAACAAAGCTCCCCCCCCCCCCAGCTTAGAACGAAGGTCTACCATCATTCTAAACTCACGTAGTAAGCTGATCCTTGTGTTCTAATTCCACTGCCGGAATTGAAGACCGATCTTTTGGATCAGAGTATAAACCGAGGTACCTATCAAGAAGACATGAAAAAGATCCCTCACTGCTCAATGGCCACACGTGTTGAGTTAAGGACGATTTTTTGCAGCCATAAGTGGTGTATCAAAATGGATGAAATATTTCAAAGGTACTAAAAATAAAACAAAGAGGTCACTTTTATCTGAGTAATGTCTTGCTTTTTTTCCCTACGTTTTTACTGTATATCGGACAGCCACCTTTATATGCTGGACAGCTGGTGTCCTTATCACTCCTGAGCATCTGTTTCAATATCACGCTCAAGATACCGCTGTGTACTACCTTTCAGTGGCATCTAGAGAAATCAGCCTTTTAGAGGTCCTGGCATTCTTCTACTCACCTATCTGAAGTACCATACATAAAATACCTATAAAGGACTGCCACACAGGTAAAGTATGTGATCACTTTAACATTTATACAGGGCTCATTCGGTAAGATATAATTTTCATTTTGCTTTCCCATGGCGACTGATTATTTTTATTTCTGGTTTCTGTCAGTAAGGAATTTTCTTCTTTGAACATATACAATTAAAGTGACATTTTTGTCCACGCTTATAGGAAAACAAATGTGTCAAGAAGAAACATTTCTATAATCGGAATTTGAAGTTATTTTTATCTTTTTGGGAAACACCAAAGGTGAAATAAAAATAAACTACATAAATTAAGGTTCGAATTACAAATTACTTTGAGTATACACAATAAGAATCTTGATTGTAGCAATATAATTTTAAAAGAAAACAACAGGAAGAAAATCGTGTTGAATTGAATTTAAATTTTGTACTTTTAGACTATTTTTTGATTTATACAATAAAAATTTATTTTCTCCAAAGCAACAACGGTCTGATATAACATTTTGAAGCCAATTAAAAAAAACAACAATATACGCAATGTCGTACTCTTGATACCGAAATTATTAACCATCTTACATGATAAACGAACGTAACAAATTCCCCTGTCATAAAATATCCTTTGTATTATGTGTTATAACATTTGATTTGTAATCTTTTTTGTAGAATACATCTAAGAGAAAAGTACAATATATCGCAATTATAAAGTGTAAATTCTTAAATGGGGAGTTAGACCTGGAAGGAATGTACTGCAAGGGATGAAAATGGCGCATGGAGGGGTCGAGGAAGACCCCCGGAAATGAGGATTAATGTAAGAACAGTTTGCAGACAAAATATTATACTCTTTTACTCTTTCACAACTTTGAAAAATAAATAACTTTTCATAAAGAAAAAAACAAAGCAATTGTGATGATTTATTTTTATGCTACTTGTGCTCGTCCATTGTTAGTCATCATCTTATTTTTAACTTTATTTGATTCTTGTCAAGTGACCTCAAAGATTTTCAACTTGAAATACAGCATCCCTTTTTAAGGGTGGGGGATAACTTTTGTTCAAATGAGATGCCAACCCCTTTTTAAATGAATAAATATTATGTATGAGGATAACTATATTGTGTATTATTTATTTTTTCTTCTTACATGATTGAATAATAGAAAAAAAAACACTACGTCATATTCACCTGCTCTTGTCCTTTCAGGTGAATATACAAGAATTAATTTTCTCTATATGGAACTAAAATAGATTTAGAACTTCTAAATTGATAAAATTAGTAATGAAAACTTATTTCACCTAAATCCGACTTCCAAGCAGATGAGAATGACTTTCAGGGACGTAGTATTGGAGAGGGGGAATGCAGGGGCTGGGTGAATATTTTACTCATATTCGAATGAGTATGGCTAAATCATTGTATTGACTTCCAAAGTAGCAACACTTAATTGTATAATGTGCAATGCTGCTTTCAGAATGCAATCAATGCTCATTATAGTCAAAGGAAAAATGCTGATGTGTTCCAGATTGTTTTCAATATTCAACATCATTTATCCTATAGTCCGAAATATTTGACTCTCCTTCTCCCTTTTACGAACTGGGTATTAGAAGCGCTGGGAAAACTGCCGAACCTTTAATATAACGAAAATTTCTAAATTGCCCCCCCCCCCCCGTATTCTGTATGCTTCAAGGACTCACAAATAACATGTTTTGGTTTATTTAGTACTTATCAGTTACGCAAAAACTGAAATACTAAGCTTGAAATATTTTTTAAGTCCAAACTTCGAGAGGCTATGAGAAAGTTCGTGGACTGATGCGATAAAATTAATGCCATGTAGTCGGTGCTTAAAAATAATAAGGAACATAAAAAAGTTTGAGGATAATTGAAAATATTAGCTTCATTTGATACTTTGATAATTTGCCAAATTATCATTAATTACAAAAGACATCAAAACGTTATCGCCTCTGAGTTTCTTGACGCCCGAAAACGTTATTGCTTCTCAATGTACGTTCCTCTGCCTCATTACATTTTTCTTGATGACAATACCTAGAGTTAAGCAAAGAGTGAAACCCGTCTTGTTTATATGACTTTACAATGTCATGAATAGCTGATTTCAATGGATAATATTGTAAATTGATCTATACTTTGTAAAGAATCATCAATTACGCAGGTAGGTTAAGGCTTCCCGAAGAAATATCACAGTACACTCTGTGCCTTCACATCTCTAAACTACCAAAATATGACGTCATAATGGAAAATGACGTCAAGTCACTGCAAACTTGAGGTGTTATGACGGGGAGAGTATCATGAACTTTACACTTTATTTCAAACTACATGTAAAATGCTCGATAGCTATTGCAAAATTCACGGGTCGTTAAAGGTTTTTTAAGTCTTATATGTCCGATTATTTTAATTATAGAGGGCGGAGCCCTCTCACGGGCCCGAAGGGCCCGTGAGAGCGAAGCTCTCCCTATAGGTAACACGTATAGTATGTAAAATATATCGAATTCTATTGTAAACTAAAATGTATTATTCAATAGAAAAATTACGCAGTACAGTTAAGGTGACAAATGGAAATATCGGCGAATTTTTTATATAGAAAATACATTCTTTACAAGGATGGGCTATTCTTTTTAGGACTTTACTATTACAGTACCTGAAACGTTCTACTTTCCCATTTTTCCGTTCGCTCACCGTTCGTTCACCGTTCGTTCAGCATGCGTTCACCGTTCGCTCACCGTGCGTTCACAGTCTTGCGTTCTGCGTTCACCGTGCGCTCGCGTTCACCTTTCACAAAGCGTTCACCGTTCGCTCTCCGTT